CGGATGGGAACCAGATCGCGAATTCGACCACATAATATCAACCTGGACAGCATTAGGCGATATGAAGGTGGTTAATCGAAAGTTGGTATGTCGATTTGGTCGATTTGTTGAATGTTGTCTACTGTAAATATTATGTTTATTTCTTAGATATGTGGCTCTTATGAACAAAGCCTTGTTTCCATCAATGCACTCAGCATTGATCGCGTATTTCCATTTTACAATCCACCCAATTCAACGCCCACCGCTTTCAGTCATAACTCCACTACACGCAAGAGCTTCTCGCGTGGTAGCCAGAAGTTAAGACTGTCAATCACTGGCCCAAAAGCATCGCGACTAGTTGAAGAGAATGAAGATAACAGGAGTCCCAGTATTGATGGTCATTCATCCCCAAATTTAAGTCTTGAGTTGGTTGACGAATCCTTGCTGGATACCACATCTCCCCCTCCACCACCAGCGCCGGCTATTACGTCATTAAATGGCGTGAATACTAATATTGTCAATAGTAACTCCTTGAATTTTGACTCTTCATATAGAGGAATGACTCCTCTGACGCAAAAGTCTACCACATCTCCTCCATATAATTTTCCGTCAATGGCATCCAGCACTGGGTACAGTTCATTCAGTGGCAACGGTCACTGCTCGTTAAATTTCGACGGACCCAGTTCGTTAAAAATGCCCGGAGAACGTGATATTTATCTCCACATGCCACTGGGGAACTCCTTTGCAAATGACATTGAATATAATTTAAATGAAAGTAATCCGCCCATAATATCAAATTATGACCACACAGAGTTGGTCGAAGATTTTCCGGTGAATCAAAACATTCATCAACCTCCAAATGGTCCAAATTCAGTGAGTTCAACTACCGCGTCAATGGGGCCTGCTCAAGCGATTCCGGCGTTTAAGGGTCCGAAATCGAAAGCAACAACCAGCGCACAAAAACGGAGCACGCAAATAGCCATATCAACTAGTGGCAAATCACACATGAACTCCTCCCACCAGCATCGTAGCAAGTTGTCGCAAGTGTCGTCGGTGAGTTCTACAGAGCTGCATAAATTAGATGACAATATGCCATTGAAGAAGTCATCTTCGTCACATTATATAAACAAGACGAAGCGTGGAAACGAAACGCAATCAAATCTTAACAAAGAGAACGCAAGAAACAAAAATATAAGTGTGCAAATCTATGCAAAGCCACCAACACGCTCGCGTACTACTCTGGAGCTGCGCTCGCCACAACGTCAAGTTGTTTCTGCAGCGGTGGCTGCTCAAAGGCAATCTAACGTAAGTTCAGTTCAAGCAATCATTTATACACTATTAACAACCAAAAATTATCTGTTGTAGAGATTTTCAAGTTACGTTGCAGATGGCAGCACAATCCCTAATGTAAGATTGTGTAAAGGCATTTGTGCAACATATAACTAAATACCGCTAATGCTAAATTTTTGTAGATACCTGTCAACGCTCGGCCGGATCCAGTGTTGCTAACACACGGGAACTTGAACCAAAAGAGTTTTGGCAACCATCAAAATATAGATGATAGTTTAGAGATACAAATATTACTGGCGTCGCATGAGCAAGTCTTTCAAGAGCTAAGCAACAGAAATGCAACATTGCAGCTAATACGAAATTCTACAAGGTAATATATTAATTATTATACTGCATGTTCTTTAATAATGATTCTGGTATATTTGGTATTATAAAGGTCTCATGACATCATTGGTGCTTTGAAGCAAGCCATCAAGACAGGACGAACTGTGTTCGTCGATCTTTTAGGCGCCATAATGGAAAAAACGTAAGTGTAACAATACATTGGACATTGAAATAAAAATATGAATTAAACTCATGCTATTCCTGGGCATGTAGCTCGTCGTGGAACTTAGATTTGTGTCTTCTGTTACTACCGGAAATCTATGAACTGTTACAAAGCCCACACAAATTGTAAGTGAACTCGTATTCAAATTAAAAACTGGCTTTCTGCTATGTTCATTCGAAATATCGTATGTTGGTTAATTTTAGTCATTACACGCGCGGCTGTGACACGCTACGAGTGATCCTTTCGAATTTCTTGCCGATTATACAAGACAACATAGATCCCTGGTCAAATAGTTTGGGAGTTGATGTCTCGCGAGAGGAGCGTCACCGTAAATGCATCGAGTGCCAGCACTGGTTGCTACAGATACGCAATTTGCCAGAAAGTAACCATTTCGGCAGCACTTTGTCTCAATTGCAAAACATGATTGTTAATATTTAATGGAACATTTTGGTCTACCGATTCGACCTTACACGTTTCCACACATATCTTTTGTGTTGTTTATATTTCAGTTTACCAGAAAGTAACCACTTCGGCCCCATTCACTACATATATACATTTTATGTCTATCTATGTATTTCATTATTTGTGGTGTCGAAATTGTTAATAATTTATTGTTAGGTTCGTAAAGAGTTAAATCACTGCATATGTCATGTAACGTTTATGTTTCAAATTAGTACTAACAGTATTTTAAGTTGCACGTGTGTTTGTATTCTCAACACTTTGTTGACCGTTTTCCTATACAAATATATAATAACAACACATAACAAGAAAAACTGTTAGAAAACTCAGCTATCGCAATTGATTTGTTTTTATAATAAAATCACTGCAAATTACCATTATAAGAAATCACGTATCCACACACTATGTAAAAAGTTCGAACACATACATACATATACATATATACAAAAATAATTAGCAGACGCAATTTCATTTAAACATGGACATGAGACAAGTGCTCAGTAGATATTATTCGTGATCATAAACGTACTTATATTTCTAAAATAATATAAATATATTATGGATATTAATTCGAGCTAATGTTTCTAAACAAAAAAAAACCCCTATGCATTAAAATTGGAAAATCAAATTTTTTAACTAAAACCAAAAAAACAAAAGAATTAAAAACATTCCCCCAGTTATTAGAGAACGAAGGAAGCAACATCATAATTGTTGGAGCCATTATAAGCTTCAATGCGCATATTTTCGTTATTGGAAAGTGCCTTTTAGGAGGAGGAGGAAGTGCACTGGAACCCCGTCGGTAGGATGGCAGTAGAGATATACTTTTTAAAAGTATAAACAATAGTGCTTTTAAAGCAAAAGTAAATCTAAAACTCATTCAAAAATAAATAATGTACATATACAATAATTGAGACTTTGTAATCCATATTTTTATACACGAAAGTGGCAGAACTGAAGATAGGTCCGCAATTTTAATGTAAAAATCATGATAATAATAGCAGCTAAGACAGCAATGTTTTACGATATTACGATATTAATTAAGTATAAATTGTGAGCTACAAGCCAGCCGTGACATCCAGAGTGACAGCTGAAGAAAAGAGAAAGTTGCTCACTTACTTCATCCGCTTATCGCATTATGATTTCAAATTAGCTTTTGTACATTTTAGCATTTGTACAATCGAACATATATTTATATCGTAAGGGTAATTCAACCTCCTTCCATTTAGAATTCGGCTAAGCGGATTGAAACGTAAATTATGACAATGAAGAAATGTTTTGTATTCTAGTTGTAATTGGAGCATATTTGTTGCTGCACTCACTCTAAGTACGACATACGAGTTCACATACGTATACATTTATAAAATAAGCATCGAACTTTGAAATTATTTTTGTACGAACAGTAGAAGGGATATATAGTATACATATATATATATATAGCTAATAAAGTAAAAAATCGTAAGGTTTGCGCACGTTCATGCTCACATATCACTCTTTGTAACACCATTGCAACCAGTTTACCACAGAACTCACCCCGGTGCGAAGTTTCATTATGGGAACACACATACATACATATATCCCTCACCACTCGCTGAACGCTATCATCATCCAACTGGTCATCTAAGCTTAAGTAAAATGTTTTGGCTCTCCACTCACGGTCACTTTGAATGCGTGTGGAAAATAGTACGCATTCACCTAGCATATATAAGGTTATTTCACCGTTTCAGGAAACTATTTTATACAATTGATAATTGACAAGCAATATGCAAGCAAACGAAGGCATGTTTTAAACATTAACTATTTTTTAACAAAAATCAAACTTATCCAATTCAATTATTTATTACATAATAAGATTATTTGCATTTTCAATTCACCAGTCTTATACGTACACGTACATATGTATATGCATTTTTACTACCGATTTTTAAGCTTAGCGATAAGCTCAACCGACATATTCGACGAACGGTGTTAGAATATGAAAATAATATAAAAGCGCACTTTTTTGATCATGTAATCACCAATGTCGTTTAACCTAGTAGATTCACTATAAGTAAACTATTTATACTAAATGTATGTAACTAGATATATTTTAAAAAGTCCACGTACACCTAGCCTTGTTTTAAGATTCACAACTGAATAATATACTAATTTTAAAACATTTTCTCAGTTTCTTTATGTTTAAAAATATTTTAATGATTTTTATTAATTAACTTATCCATTGCAAGAACATAAAAATAAAACAAATGTTTTGTATTTCTCGAACTGTTTGAATTTCCACAACTGATAGGAAAGACTTGAACTAAAACATATTGCGGGATGCACGGCTTGAATACAATTTTTTTGAATAATATTAGTTACAATAAACCACTTTTAAATTCACCACAGTAGTCGACCCAAAACTCTTTGTAGAGCAGTGGTGACACCCACTCAATGCGTGATGGAATGACGTTTAGAAAATTGGATTTGATATATTTGAAGTATTTAAATAACAGCTATTCGCATTTTTTCTTCTTGTTTTCAATATACATACATTAGAGCGGGTCGATTAGTGACGAAACGTGAATTCGGAAAAATCGTATAATCAGATCATTCTGCACAACTTTGTCTAAGAAATTATGGGTCTAAAACCGATTTCGAGCCAGCGATTATTCATAAATGGCGTATTTTGATATTGTGCTATTATTTGTCGAAATCAATCAGATCGGATTATTCAGATTTTTTACTTTCCGATAAAATGCATTTAATTAGAAACCTAAAAGCACATAATTTCGCAGAATTGTCTACTTAACTACTTTTTATAGCAAAAATCGATCCACCCTAATATGCATACCACATATGTACATGCTTGTACATGCAAAAACATGCACGAATAATAATGTTAAATACTCAATCGGGCAATGGTTTCAGAGTAGTTACGAAAGTAATCGCGCATAAGTGTTCCATGGATCACCCGCGCTTTTTAGTGGAAGAATTCAGAAGTACGCATACAATAACAATGCGCATTAAAAATATCAAAACTTGAAAAATTACGTAGTGAATGCTATCTAATTACCGCTAACGATACGAAGTCTTCTCAGAGAAATGTATGAACCTACGAGCATAATGGTATGTAAATATGTTCGTGTGTGCATTGTAATTTAAATGAAGGTGAAAAGTGTTGTGATGACCTGGAAGTTCACAAGCACTTGTACACGGGTGCGTTGAGCTGTTTGGAAAGTGAAATATGCGCCAGCTAACCTTTTTATTTAGACTTCAAAATATGAGCAGAAGCAGCTCTTTTAATGAGCCATAATATCACCATAACAACAGCAGACATGGGAGACCGCTTCAATTGTCATCAGTCTTAAATATTTACTGCAGCTTAACTATGTGCTGAGCGAACTCCGCAGTTCGAAGCGCAACGTGGACGCGTAACAATATGCCAAGATTGAGTCCGAAATTCGATGAACGGTTAAATACTTGTATAGTGATTAAGAAGCGCCGTCACTCTTCGAGTTAACGGCAGTGTTAATCCGCGTTTGTAATCTTTAACCACCGTTATGGTTTCCAAAACAATACTCAAAATATCGTTAGTAGTTTTTGTTGTTTCCGCTGTTTACAAAATTCCGAAAATTGCAGCGAAATTAAGTATGGGAATGTATTCCGGAGCGACACCAGATCTTCTTCCATTTGGTGTGATTGAACAAATACAGATGAGAAACCCCTTGAAGAGTGTCCAAAGTATAGCAGTAGAAAAGTCCGTTATGCTTCCTTCAACGCCGTATCAAGATCCAAGGTCAAAGATGTTTAATCAAAACCGAAGGACGTCTATTAAATTTCGTCGCCATAATTACATCAATCGAAAAAGTAGACCGTCAACTTTGCGAAACCAGTCACTTTTGGCGCTTTCCCAGCAGAATAAGCAGTTATTTCACTTGTACAATCATGAGGGTGAGCACATGTTGGATTTGAAAGTAGACAAGACTGAACATCGTCCTTCTGACGGACCTAAACGCTCGACAAATAGACGGAAGACTGTTCTGTATCCCAAGCAATCAAATGAAGGTCTCAAACAAATTCATCACTACTGGTTGTACGTATGACGGCGCGTCACATACTATCTCTTTGTGTTTTTCCGGGGACAGTCTCACTGACGAAAGATATATTACTTCAAAATTTATATAAAAATGCTTTTAGTTATTTATAAAATGTAGTATGAATATATTGGACTTAATAATTATGCAATTATAAATTAAAAACTCATTTATTTTTATGTCGATTTCTAATTTAACAATAACAATGTGTGACACTTTTAACCGCTTTGTGTTATGCAACATCTGAAAGACTACCATCTGACTTGAAACCGCCGAATCTGTTTTCATAACCTTCAAATTCGGTATTATCAAAGTTAAGGCCACCATATGCGTGATAACCGTGACTATTATCCTTGGCTTGATGTTCAATTAATTCTCCATATACACCAAATTGATTGTGATCGGTGCTATCTCCATGAGCATAATGAGTTTTAAAAATATTACGGTAACCATTATTGTCTTCGTGATGAATGCTCTTAACTCCTTGATCTGAATGGTCTGTACCAAGATGGTCGAAACCAAAATGAGTTGTATATTCTCCGCCAGCCTCGTAATTATTAAAATTTCTATGCGCCCCGAATGAATCGTCTCCGTCTTCTCCACGGATATATTTTATTGTTTTGACTTCTTGTGGCACACTGAACTCATCGGGACCCCCATGAAGAACATGATCTTGGTGACTAACATAGTGTTGGAGTGTTCTAAAAGACCCAAGTCCTCCAGTCCCAACTTCTTCGTGAATAACTTTCCCTGCTTTTAGTTCACGGCTATACCCACTGAAGTCACTACTCTTACCGGGAATACCGTACCAACCAGTGCTAGAAACAGCCGCACTACCTTTACCTGCCAGAACACCGCCATCTTCTATAAATCTTGTATATTTCCCGTAATCGGCCTGGCTACCTACACCAAGATGGTCATCAGAACGCTTTTCTTCTTGCATCACTTCGGTAATTGGTTTGCCACTTCCAAAGGCTCTACCGTAATCACCAATAGCGTCCGTGCTCTTATGGTATGCGGACAATGACCGTTTTTCATCATATTGATTCACTCCGTGCCAATTGTCTCTACCGAAGTCGATTTCTTCATTGAGATTACTCCCGGCAAGTGTGTATCCACTGTTGACTGAGGCCACAAACATACACAAGACATACGCATGGATCTGAAATTTAAAATTATGCAAGATCAAATTGCAATGAACGAGGAGTTATGTTATGTAACAAACCTTCATATCGACAAGCTCTCAGCCGGATTGAGTTTCGGTGAAGTGTTGAAGTTGAAGAAGTGAGACTGTGCACAGAACTGCAAAAGGTTTTATACACCTTCCCATTTATATAACCAAAAGGCTGGGAATTTATTGATGCAATTCTTTCCGCACATACATTCATACGGACAACACCTATATAGAAATCAAAGCTATTCATATGTATGCGTTACGAAATCGTTTTGAAAGCCCTTTACGAAAAGTTATCCTATTTATCGAGACACAAAAGTTAAACAACAATAAGCTAGCACAAATATGCAAATATGTATGTATGTATGTAATAGTGGTAATGGGACACTGCTCATCGATTAGCCCACATTATATGTAACAATAATAAATAAATATTAACTTATTTGTATGACAAAAGAGTCATCAGCACTGATGTTGTATTTATATTTGTTATTTATATACCATATATGTGTATACAATTTTGAAATGTTCCAGAAATGGGGGTCTGTCAAGACGTTCGCTTCAAGTTGCAGAAACACCTCTCCGTGAAAAATATAACTTTTGCAGTTCCAGTTCCTAAATGTATTTACTATCTACTTAATTCCATCTTGTTCCTTATATTTTGGGCCTTGGCGTCAAGTCACATCTGAAATATTCATTGCAATTGTTAGTGTTTCATAGTAAAGCGACTTTTAACATTTCAAATTATAAACACCGATGTTAATTTCTGACTATATCACTCATCTTAATCTGCTCTGATAATTTTAATTTATGTGTAATTGGAAATTCTAAATATCAGCGTCAGCACTCAAATCGTCAATGGATTTATTGTGCTCCAAATTGGATTGGATAATCTCCTTATAGAGAATACAGGGACAAATAACTATCGAATGTCTCATAGTTAAACTTAAGCGTAGTTACGAGTGTAGACATATGCATATAATGGATGTGCGCATTGAAGCTGAAGTCTTTATGCGGTTCAATTACATGCTTCAGGGTATATAACCGAGTGAATTGAATGCTTCTCCTTGATAATGACAAAAGTAATGCGGAGTATTGGCAGCGTTGGTTTACACCTGCCAAAAGCGCCATAAAACTAGTTGAGTAGTAAGCAAGGGTTGCAAGGCCGATATTCTCTATGACTAGATTACTCTTGTTAGAGTTTTGAAAAGTGAAAATATTGGGGAATTTATGTTTTTACATATAATTTCTTTAATTTTCTTTCTTAACATATATTACATAATAATAATAATAATAATAAGTAAATAGTTAAACCTAAAGTATTAATCAAACGCTTCGTTGTGCAATAAATAAAAGCCATCATTACAATCTTGGTGGCAGGTATTGATTTGAGGGAGGTACATGTCCGTTCGCTGGTGGCACGTACTCGTTGGATGGAGGTCCATACTGGCTTGATGGAGATCCATACTGGCTTGATGGAGGTCCATACTGGCTTGATGGAGGTCCATACTGATTTGATGGAGGCACATATTCATTAATTGGGGGCAGGTATCCAGTGCCAGAAGCACCGCCGATATTTCCACTTGCAGATGCTCCCCCACCGAAATCTCCTCCACCGTTCGCATTTCCCCCTGAACCTCCATAACCACTGTCTAATTCACCAATTAATTTGAGAGACTTTACCGTTTCAAATGAATCGTTAACATTTCCACCGTCATCAGGTCTACCAGCTGCATCACCATGATCACCCCCATAGCTGCCTCCGTCTACGTGTGCACCACTGGAATGACCTGCGATGCCTGCTTGCTCATGAATTACTTTGATTGTTTTCACTTCACCATCTCCGATTGCGCTTCCACCAAAAGCACCACCACCCACAACACCGGCTTGCTCATGAATGACTTTAATAGTTCTGACATCTCCGCCACCAACAGCACCTCCAGCTGTACTTCCATAATTATAGCCTCCATCGGAACCACCAGTCAAGGAACCACCGCTCACTGCACCACTTTGCTCATGAATAACTTTAATGGTATTCACATCATCGTTGCCACCGCCAATAGCTCCTCCACCATTTGTGCTGCCCACTCCATGGCTACCTGCATATCTCTGCTCATGAATAACTTTAATTGTTTTTACAACACCACCACCTGGTGCTCCCCCACCAAGTCCACCAACATGACCACCATGACCACCATGTCCGCCATTGCCATAGTTGTAGCCTGCATTGCCAGCATAACCATTTGAGAATCCATTACCACCAGCTTGTTGGTGGATAACTTTGATGGTTTTCAAATTACCATTTCCAATGCTGCCACCATGGCCCCCACCATGTCCATGACCACCACTTATACCATGGTGTCCGCCAACTGCTCCTCCATGTTCATGAATAACTTTTATGGTTTTGACCTCTCCCACGCCTACTCCGTGGCCAGTAAAACCACCGTGGGACCCATAGCTCCTTTGACCGCCGTGACTCCCGTAACTTCCTCCATGTCCTGCGGCTTCTTCATGAATGATTTGAATAGTTTTTACTTCACCGCCACCTCCTGGACCACCATATCCGCCGTGACCACCATGACCCCCATAACCGCCACCATCGGAGCTACCGCCAAGAAAGCCCGCCGAGCCTGATCCTATCAAAATGGCGAGCATACAAACAGATATCTGCGGGTAAAGAGATTAATGGCTATTCTAACGATTTACATAAGGATATCAAATTTACCCTCATTTTGTATTTTCCTCGAATGTGACTTTACTGAAAATACTGTTATGATGAGTCTTTTATGGAAACTAAAAGTCGAACTGATGCTGACAGAGGCTAGAGGCAATCATTTATACCAAAAACAAAAGACATCCGAAGCAAACCTCTACTTCTGGCAGCGATGCCATCATGTGTTTGCAGCTGTTTTAGCTAACGTTCGGACGAATCATAAAAGCACTGGAATCAGTAAAAAACAACAAAAACAATGGGTAGTCGAACTATAATCAATGCAGTTACCCAACAAAGGTAAATGTAATACAGGCAGTTTTAATGGGTCCGGAATGTATCGAAGATTTTTTCATCTTTTTTATTCAATTTCGTTAGTTAATCATTTGGTTTTCGTTTATTGTGCCCACAGGTTGGTGTGGACATGAGTAACTTTATATACGGATTAGTACATAGTTGACGTAGCTACACACTTATAATTAAAGTTAAGTTGGCCACCTGCGATCATTGCATCACTGTTTGAAGCTGATTCCCCCGTCAAAGCAATGCTCAGGGTCTCGACCGGTTGTCGACCTAAGCCCATGCACATTTTGTAACAGCTAACTCATTATAAATACATACTCACATGCATGTACATACAAGTATGTATGTACGAGGATTTTCAAATGCTCTTTTTGACTCCATGAAGCGAGTTACCTTAGTATTTAGACTATATATTTCTATTATATAGAGTATAGATAGAAGTTGGATTATTACATTAAATATACCTGCAGAATGTTTTATTTGTTAGCTCCAGCTGTTGTAAACCTGCATATTTTGAATTTATATTAGAGGTATTCACACAGCTTTGTTAATTCGTTAGTCGTTATTCGGTAGTTTTTACGTGCATTTTGTTTTTGTAAAATGAACAGATTATCGTTCTACCGAGTACCAAAGTACCAGTGTGACAAGCTTGATAATTTTTTCGTTACTGGTAACATCAAATCAGCTATTTGTTTTGCGTCGTAGCCTAAAAAGTTCATTTGATTCATTGCGAAAAAATACAATTGCTACTCGCTATACAATAAATTTAGACAAATTCCAAAAAAAAGGTGGTGGAACGAAATTTACCACACTACTGAGATAGAGCAAAAAGCATGTTAACAGTAAATTGTTTTAACGAAGTATCAACTAATTAATTACCAGACTAACATGTTCGTTCAGAATACCCCTATATGTATGTAGGTATCTCGTTTTGTAATTACGAATCGTGATCGAAACGTGAGGTGAGACAAAATAACGATTGAAAACAGTTCAAAAAGCTTGTTAAGACGTGGAAGCACATCAATTTCAAGTTCACGGATACTCAGCTGTTTTTCTTTATGCATTCGTTAACATTCCCACATATGTACAGGTATGTATACTCATAAATGGTATATGAGTTTTGCATATGCTTTGCTGTAATTATGTTTGTTATGAATTCAACCAAAAAGCTTTCGTGCATTAATTAACGTATATGTATGTACATATGTATTTCTATATTAAGTATTCATGAGTTTCGAAAAACTATCGTAACAATTATCGATCCCTAAACAAGCTTGTTATGAAATTTACCCCTCTATTTTAATTGATCTCAACGTCATTACGTGAAGAAGAAACATTGCAAGCGCTGGGCTATTTGAAACTCATCGTGTTTCCTCCATCTATTCACAATCCAATCAAATAAAGCAATTTTCTATTGTGTTTGGAAGTTGTTGTTGTTGGAAGTACGGACATATTTTATTCTTAATTCTATTTTTTTCTTATGACAGAAATAGGGAAGGCTCCCAGCAACGGCGATTACTTCTGGATTAGATAGGAGGGTGCTGACGAGGTGGAAAAACGTCAAGCTAAATTCAAGTTTTCGAGAAAAAAGCAAATTGAAAGGTTTAAATTTTTAAAATTTTTATTATTTTTCTTTGGTTCAGTACTTACAAATTAAGTATATCTGTGTGTGTGTAAATACAATAAATCTACCAAGAGATGTGTGTCCATATGTATGCGCAGAAATGATGAGCTTGATTAGCTAAAGCTTCAGCTCGTCGCAACGCAGGATGTGGGACGTTAACCGCAACCCCATTTGTGCGGTCATTCCATACTAAATCTAATCAGAATAACAATAAGGTCTAGAAATAAGTGTGTATCGTAACTACTTAACTTTTAAAAAGACATTGCGATCCGCCTCACAAAAACAATGGTTTTAATTATTAGGCTGGGCACGGTGAGTAGTAAACTTTGTACAGCTGTACTTATTTAATTTTATTTAAATTTCTTATACTAAAATATATTACATCTAATAACCTCGCTTAGTCTAAATTTTTTATTTTTAAATACTGGTGTGAAACTAACTTGGGTTGTAATCTACTATTTTCGCAATCCCATATAGACTCGTACATCTGTATATGATTTTCGAAGTTCGAAAATTGGGTTTCTGTTCTTATATCATTATTTCAATAAATTATATTGCTGCTTGACTATATGCGAACATACAAATAGTGTGTGCGCGTTTTATCCTAATCTAGAGTTATATGTGGATTGGTATATGTGAAACCCAAGAACGGCTTCTGATCCATTGAATGCAGAATATCCTTTTCGATGGGAGTCAAGCGCACACGCTCTTTTGTGAAAACGCGATCAAAGTATTGAGTATCCAATGGATGTTTCTAAAACGATTAAATGCCTATTAATATGAAACAACTTGATATTTACAATCGAATACTTACCACAAGTGGTTTGTAAGGTGGCGGTAATAGCCGTTTCTCTAGTAGATCCCAATCGATGGGTCTGAAGAATAAGTGCTCGCTTATGTCGCCAGCGGGACTATATTGAGATCCAATGCGCTTTGTGTAATCCTTTTCAAGTAGCTACAAATAAAATATTTTTGAAATATCTTGCTGGGTGACTTTATTCAGTTGAGACTTACGCCTTTCAAAATACCCGTAGCTTCTGCAGATATGTAAACAGGAAACCAAGGAATCTCATTGCAAATCGACCAGAATAATTCATCCTCATCGCAGCCACTGAACGGCGATTGTCCAATCAACATTTCGTAGAGCAAGACACCAAAGGACCACCAATCCACGTTTTGATTGTACTTTTCGCCCTTTTTATTAAGAAAAATTTGCACATATACACACTTTTGTAATATTTAAAATAATTGTGTTTGTACCTTTATGATTTCGGGCGCCATATAATCAGGTGTACCGCAGAAGCTGTCGGCGGTCTTGTCGAGGTAGATCTGCAATTTACACATGCCGAAGTCGGCAATGCGAACGTGACCTTCAAAGTCTAACAACACGTTGTCCAACTTCAGATCTCTACAGCACATAGAAAATATTATAATAAATTATTTTACTATTCGCTGCGAAAATACTTTAGTAACCAGAATAATCCGTACCTATAAATTATTCCTTTTTTGTGCAGGAACTTCAAGCCAGATATGATTTCGGCTCCGTAAAATCGTGCACGTTCTTCCGGAAACCGACCACTCTCCTGTATGTGGAACATTAGATCGCCACCATTAAGGTACTCCATTACAAAGAACAAATGGCTCTAGAAAAATGGAAGAAACATTTAGAACAAGTATTCACACTTAAAGTGGAGCTACATAAATATTTGATCCTCTAAGTAGTGGTAGTCGCTTAATAGCATTTAAAATTGATCTGAACTCAACATTACTATCTTATTAACCTCTGACCTACATTATTAGCACGAAATAGAGCGTGAAATATTCAATTTTGAAATGATTGAAGAATTGAATATGGACATGGATGTAAGCTGGAACTGATTTCAAAAGAGCTTGGCATGATATCATCTGCGTTGAATATGACACAAGTATTTTTTTTAAAGCTGAATTTTTCTTATCGATGCAATTTTATCAACCAGCGGCAACTTCATGGCTACAAAACCATTACGACACCTTGCGATGCTTGATCAATCGGCAATTTCTCCTCCGCGATGCACGCAATTAATGTCGACATTCACTTTAATCAAATGCCCTGATCCACATTTGAAAATTGACCATCGGTCGCGCTGTCTGCGACTACTCGTTTATTCGAATTCACCTAGCGATGGTCAAACAATGGGCTAAATTTATCATTTCACCTTTCCTCAATCGTTTAATTGATCTATTTGTGGTGGCTGATTTCGCCATGCAGTCGGGGAGGAATAGTGCGGCATGCGACATGCCGGCAGGTGTACGATGTACACCCAATATCTTGTCCGCGCCGCGCTCAGCTGCAAAAATTCGAAATTTCGACTGCATCAGGGTTGATGAGAAATCCGAAAATGACAACAGGCACCGTAGCATGTGAATCGACGTACATTTGTAAGTGTGTCTAAACACCTGCAGATAAAAACTGAATTTTGGAGAACCGCTTGTTACACAGCGTAAAACATTAGAAGACATCTACCGTTAGCCCCCTTTATGCGCGTTTATAGCCTCAACATGCTGCTACATACAACGGAATAGACCAAAAATCTAACAATCTAAGAATAGATGAATGCTCGATGCCAAAGTAAAATGTATGTATGCATGTCGGAAAGTAAAAAAAAATATCATTTGCATGTATGTTTGTAAATGGTGAAAATCAAATTGAATCAGGAACACTTTAAAACATTTGCAATTGAAAAGCAAATGCAAATAGATTTTAGGATAACTGTACTATACTTATAGATAGTATGTACAGGAATATGTGATCGGTATGTATCAAAACCGCAAATGAATACCGCGAATTTCAATTAAAATAATAAAAATCGGAAACCTTACAAACTGAAGGCCGACATGATGTTCAATTGTTTTCGACTACACGATTGCTTCCTATTTACCTCCGTTTGAAATGTGCAAAACAGGTGACACAGATACGGATGTTTGGTGCCCAATGCCAACACTTTGCGTTCGATTAAGGTTGAATCGACATCGTCATCCTCGAGAACGACATCTTTCTTCAAACACTTGACGGCGTAGTAGTAAGTGGTGTCGCGCAGCTCAGCCAGCAGCACCTGAAATTTACAATGCGGACGAGACGAGTGTTACTTAAGTTTTGTGGAGACATTATTCAATTTAATACCTTGCCGAAACTGCCTTTGCCCAACACAGCTAGGAAGTGGAAATCATCTACGGAGTAGTTTTTGAACCGTGGTATAACGGTAGCTGGCGCTGTGAAACGCCCCAACTTTTGAAATTGGGAATAGGTGTACGACGTTTCTGCAAATAAACTCCAGCGGTCAATAGAATCAAGAAATAATTGGATAACCTGAGATGCCTCATTAGAGATCATCAATAGTGACTTCCGGGTATAAATTAAGGAAGAGCACATGACAATTCCATAGTCTGTGGTTTAGTGGTTATGTTACTTCGATGGCAAAGTATTAGTAATAGAATAGTAGCCTCGTCTGCGACCTATGCAAATGTGTATATGGTATTTGAATATTTGATTATTTTATAATGCATATCTACATTAAAATCATATTAAAACCCGATTTAATATGAATAAACCTGCTTTAGCTCAAGACGCGACCTGTGAAACGAAACTAATAAGACACTTCTCACATTGAGTCTATCTCCGCTGCAATTAATACCTAAACCAGAGACGCAGTAAACAACAACACATTCTCTCAGAGTCGATGTCATATGCATTAGTATTTTAGTGTGTAGTCCTCGGATTTATTATTATTTAAACGTATACTTACCTTAGTATACATACTAAATACATTAGTACGCACATACAGGTAGATATGTATATGCATTCACTAAATTTAAAACATGCTATCCAAATAAGAATGGGGGGGCATATCACTAATAAAAGCAAATTACATATTGTGTTATTTGTAGAAAGTTAATGAAAAGTAACGTTATTTTTTTGCATAATTTTGCTTTTTCAACTAAAATAGAAACATTTTCAACACGATTCACACGCCGATCTTCTGGCTGTTTTCTGTACAACGTAATCGACTAACAACCGACTTTATATTACATCAAAACGATATTATATATCCCAATTAGTTGTACTTAGTTTAGTTTGTGCTTAGTAAATTTATAAGTGAGGTTAGTAAAGGAAGTATATCCTAGGGCATATACAGACACATAGCATACCATCTTGTTCCTCGTTGGTTTCGATCGTATATGCTGGATTTGAGCTCGGTGGAGTACTCGACGATTCTCGGGCTTCCCGTGCGCCTACACATTAGATGAATGGAAAATGTATACACTTACGAACTAATGTATATTCTTGTATAATGCCAAAAATGCTAAACACAAAATGAAAACATTAACCTCAACACACCTCATTTGATATATGTACGAAATATGTACATACATACATAAGTATTTATATAGAATTTGGCTAGGACTCTACGGTATGCATTGTCTATGAAAAGAATAAATTATATTTATGTATACTATAAAGTGATATTTATCTATTCTGAACCTTGGAAATAAACGCCATAGAAATTTACTGTCTCACCTCTCTATTGTGGGTAGTTGTCATAAATTATATGATAATTTGTCGGTCTTGACCAGCTGTCAAGCTGTCAATCACTGGTATGTTAGCCAGCCAGTCGTCGAACCACTGAGGTTACTTTTTGCAACCTGAACTAAAAATAGATAGTCTTCACGCGAAAAGTACTAGGTGCCCACAAAAACATAAGGATTATGAATACATTTGAGGCTTGTAGTTAAACTAGATGCGTAATTGGAATGTTTGCTACTAGCTTTACACCTCCGCTTCTCTAGAACAGAGTAATTTCAATCACTCAGGTTTCGCTTCGTTCGAATATTAAGGTTACGAGTTGACTTCGTGGATACAATTATTTATGAAATGTCTTTAGGTATATTTTATTAGGAAACAAAGTTGTTGTAAGGTAATTCCTTACTGAATAAAATACAAAAATAGTAAGAAAGTAATTGTAGTAAAGTTAAAACTATTTGAAACGTATTTCAACATTGTAACGGTGCTCGTAATATGGAATGCAAAATAATACTAATGTATGTATGTATGTAATTTGCGTATAATTCAAACGTATATAATAATGTGTGCAAATACATGTGTAAGATCATAGAAGTGCGTTACAAGAATGTACAAGTGTGCCAAGAATCTGATCGCGATCGGGAGAATACCGTCTCGGTATACCCGAGTTTGTATACATGCAACACTGCCACCGGTGCCATAAAACGGCGATAAATAACAAAAATATTTTTTTAAGTATTTGGGACACTGCACGTAGAAAATCTTCCCACACAAAATATTTTGAGCCGCTAACAATAAGTATATGGACGGCACAATCACCTGACCTGCATGGCCTCAAGCCAATAATGTATCGAACCGTTAGCTAAATATTAGTGTATATAAATGCATTTTGAATACATTTATGTATACATACGTGTGTGTTCTTAAAAATGTTAATCTTAATGTCTTGATGAGTCTAAACAACTCGAAGAAATATACTAAAAAAGTGAAGGAAAAAGCAGCAGCAAACAAAAATGTGAGATGATTTCTAAAATGTAGAAATTCGATCTCTCGGTAATATGTGTGGGTCTCTTGAGCCTCGATTCGTGTGCTTCTACTATAATACTAGCTAGTAATAAGGTCTTAAGCTCTATGGTAAGCTTTAACTGAAACCAGTAGTATTGAGAAGTGGCATATCCGCATTTAAGTTTAGTAGTAACTAGTTGTCGTTTTAGACTATTGACAAATTTTATATTCAAATGGTAGCCTTTAGTATTCCTCGATGTAATGTCTAACACATATTAGACATGGGTTCCTAACTGATAGTTCTCTGGTTCTCTAGGTGTTTTTGTTTTTAGCATTAATGGATAGAAATCATATTAAATATCCCTTGCACGAAATCCGTTTCAGAAAGCGATTACCTCGCTTCACGCATGCCAAAGCCTCGACGATGAGTTTCTGGTTGACGCCGCATAAGTTGGCCATTAAGTGCTCGCATTTCTTGTGGCAGTTAACATCACATTCTGCAATATGTGGATCAGCCGTTATCGATGTCCATAAGATTAAAAGATTCTATGAGTTTCATGTTTATGTATGTATAATGTATTATTTTTTTCTATAAGAATTTATAAGTGTTCTATGTGGATACTACTTGTATATCATAAAACATTAAAATGAAGCGAAACTTTTTGAGCACATGCAATGTTTTAATGTTTATTGAGTCCTTAAACATTTTATAAACGGATGCAGCTCCGATATACTGCACAAACCTGATGGTGGATCAAGAATCCAAGTTTATCATATGTAAGTAAGAGATGGTTTTCTAGGTCCATCCCCCTTACGTATGTCGGTATGTACCTTAAAATCTAACGTGATGTCTATTGATATAACACCGTTATATTAGCTGACTCTAACCAAATTCAACTCATCAATTTAAAACCTGAATCATTAAGGTATCAAATCCATAAAAATCTTAATCTTGACTTAGCATGTCTCGAAGCGTTCCGAATGTGTGTTTTATATACTTCATAAGGCAGCCAGAATTTCTCGAATTTCTCTTTTATAATGAGTTAATTGTTATTGTGCTGTTAATATATATGAAATAAATGCCAGTCACACCGATAAACAAACCGAACAACAAATGAAACTAAGAACTAACATATCAAGTAAACGAAAGTATCATCCATTTTATCCCTTTACCGAGACGTCCAAATGGACACCTGTGGTTCTATGAATCCAATTCCGTTATGGCTCGTAATATATGAAATTCAATATTTTTTAAATATCAAATTTTCAGCACATGCTATTTAGTAAATAGGAACGCAATTCATTTTATCGTGAGAACAACATACTCGTAATCAATATTAAAACACTGCGAAAATACAAATATTCACACACACCAGCATTCATGTAAACTTGTACACCAATAACGGGAAGGGGGAAAACATGTGTTTGTTGCGGGCAATTCTGGCAACAAATTAATTAAATGTCTCCCATTGACGTATTCGAATATTTCGGCTGAGCTAAAATAAAAGGTACTTTCGAAGTCGATTTCTTCAGCATTTTTTATATATGTACGGATAAACATATACAATATACATACATACATATATGTGGATAGGTATACTCATATACATATATGTACATATATTTGTTTTATACTGTTAGAAGGCTTTGCCAATCGACAGTAACCACCATGCATTTGGACCTTTCTTTAGATGAGTTTGTGTATGTAGGCACGTAGACTTACCAAGCATTTTCTTGGGACTAGATGGCGCTGTGCCGCCTTCAAAACCCGAATCATTGCTGCAGGTACTTAAGCGTATAATAGCGGAATTCTCCTTAGACAAATTGCTGCTGCCTGTGAGCGCTCCACTGGTATTGGTGCTCAAGTCGTCCTCGTACTCCTCGGACGTAGTGCACTCTTCACTGTCTTCGGTTTCCTCACTACCCGACCCGCTCTCCTCACTGTCACCACTCTCATCATCGGAATTCTCGTCAGGATACACTGGTTTTTCACGTTTCCATAGTGGACGCGGTGTCGCGACAAGCGGGTAACGAGGTGCCTCTTCTTTCACGTAACACTTGTTGGAGGGATCGATTTTAATTTTCTTTTGTGGATCAAAACGAGCTTGTTCGGCCTGTTTCTCTTTTTTGCGCCGTTGTCGCAGTTTTTTCTTCATGCTTGCACTCAAATTTTGATAATCACAACCGTCCGCACTGGAATAATTGTATGAACTGTCCTCGTCATCGCTATTTTCCGCAGATGACGGTATGTAGTCTTCTAGATCGGCGTCGACGTCTTGTAAACACTGCGCCAAATTCTGTACTGTTGCGAATTTTGATAAATTATTTGGCGCGTGTGCCTTTTGTTGGGGATTCTTCTTGTCGTCGTCAGCGTCTTCGTGACTTTTGCGGCACGCTACCGATTCTGTAGCGACCACTATTGGCGAGACGATTGCAGCTGTTGAGGTCTCTGGGGATGTGGATGACTTCGTAGACGAGCTAACTGGTAGCTTTGTCGTCGACGATGTAGTTGCAGTAATTGCGACGGCAGCTGTTGTCGCTACTTCGGGTGTGGATGCTATTGTTATGGGCGATGTTGCTACTGTCGCTGTCACGGTTGTTGTTTTTGGCGATATTTTTGTTTTGGCCACTTTTTCGTTCACATCTTTGTTGATCGTTATTGTTGCCTTTGCCTTTGTTTTTATGTTTTGTGGTGACGTCGTTTTGGTTTTTGTTGGTGACGTCGTAGTCTTTGGGGGTGCTATCGAAATGAATTGATCGGCATTGATGGGTGTCGCCGGCTCACTTCGTGGGGACGCTTTTGATTTGGCAACAGTTGTTGCGATACTTTTTTCTTTTGCTGCTATTGCTTTAGGGGTAGTTTTTGGCTTCGTACCACTAACGGTAGAGGATGTGGACTCAGTTGATTCAAGTGGTACTGTAGTCGTGATAGCTGACAATGCTTCATTTTGTCCCACCACTTTTATTTCCGGCCTACAACTTTCGCCTATTGATGACGTTGTTCTTGCTTCAGTTATTGCGCCGTTTGCTTGTGGTTCATTAACTTCTGGCAATAGTTTAGCCTCCTTCAAATTTCTATTAGCCGATGTTGTGATTGATTTTGGTGTGGTTGATAGTTGTGTTTGTGTTTTCGTAGTTTTTGTGTCGGTTTGGCTAATGAATAATTTCGCTTTATCTATTTTGATGTTGCTTTCGTTGTCGTTCTTCACTAGTGTCGTAAATTTGTTCGGTTGTTGTGCAGGTGACTTGGCGGCTTGCCCAGAATTTATTTTGGTCGCGGCGCTTGTTGCAGTCGTCGCGGCTGTCAAAGAGCTTGTTGTTGGTGTTGTTGCTAAATTTTCGGTTTTACATTTTTGTTCGATTAAAGATTTGTGTGCATTTGCCGTTGAATTTTTAGTAATCGCTTGTTGTTCCGTTTTTCCTAACAAATTCAAGTTATTTTGGCCTTTAGTCACCTTATCAGACATTGTAGATTCTGTAGATTGAGATCTTCCTACCACGCCTTTGTCATTTGCCTTTGCCATATCTTGGTCTGCTTTCTTTAAAGCTTCATTTTTCTGTGCTGTTACGGCAGATTTGATTTCTTTTATATTGCTTACGTCTTCCACAGCTTGGGATTCCAAAAGTTCTTCGCATTTTTGCCATTGGCTCTCAAGTTGCCCCTTCTTTCGGTTTGTCATGTACACTGATTCACGGTTTCCAATTTCGGACCAAAAATCTATTCCGCTGTCTGACTTTTCAATAGGGTTTTGCTTGGTTTCCTTTACTGTTGTTGGCAAAACCTTTGGTAGTTCAATTTTTGAAGGTCTTGTAGTTTCGATCTTTATTTTGATTGGAAGCACAAGCTCTTTTAAATTTGTGCTCTGATTGTCTGATGTGGAATGCAACGAAGCCGTTGTTTCTGAAATGGTCAATTTAGGTGATTCAGGAGATTGGGTGGTGGAACTCGATTCGTCTTTAGAAACATCATTTTGAAACTTCGGACTTACAATTGCTTCTAAGTTATCACGATCTTTATTTGCCCAATATGAGTCTACACTCGAGGGCTCAAATGTGAAAATTTCTGCCGTACTGATAAATGTACCCGTTTTCGTCGGTGATTTTGCTTTGGGCTGTATTTTCGCTTTTGGACTCGCCTGCATAAATCCTTCAGGCAAAGTGACTTCTCTCGATTTCATGATATTTTTTACACTTTTTCTCTTTGGCAATTTAAAGACTTTGTGAATTTCGTGATGTTCTTCAACCGATTCAACATTGAAGGTGAACTTAGGTTTTATTGATGAGTCCTTTCCAGGTGTCGTAGTAGACAATTCATCTTTCTCTTGAAGTACCGGAAGAATAGGAGAATTTTCCACTTCAACGACAGCTGTAATCTTGTGCCTGATCTTTTTTCCTTTTTTCGATGTACGTTTCTTTGTTGATTGGCGATGTCCTTCCTCGGCCGCACTGTCGTGACTATCACGTCTTTCAAGATGAATAAGCTGGAAAGTGCCAGACGCAGACTTTTGTAATTTATTGAGAATTTCTTGTTCTTGTTCTTGAATAAGTGAAGCGCGACGCCTTAGTTCACCTGCGTTGAGGTCATCGTCAATTTTGTCCGACGAAATATCCTCACATATATCATGAAACGTGGGACACTGGGGTATACTTAAACGGCGGATGCTGTTGTTAGTAGAATCCAAATCCATTTCAATTATTACTTCACCAGCAAGGTTGTCTTTTGTTTCATTGTCATCCTTTAATGGAGAGTGCTGGCTCTGAGATTTATTGAGATTATCGGATGAGGCTTCCTGTATAAGATAACGTTCACGAATTAAATCACCTGGTGATTTTTTGGAACTGTTCGTAGGCTCTGTTGCCAATTCTTCAGCCAACTTCTGACGCCAACTAATATGCGTTTCGGTTGGGTGCAATGGCTCTATTGTGGGAAGATCTTTGAATATTTTGGATTTCGGTTCAGGGGAATCGTCTGTACTCGAAGTTGTGGACTTTGTATTACGGTTTCGGTCTTTACTACGTGAGCGAATTGTGGATAAACGAACTACAGGTCGGTCTCTTTTAATAGTGGATGACCTTCCCTTTTTCTCTTGATTTTTCCCCTCTTCCTTATTTCTTTCGCTTTTTTCTTTCTTATTATTTTCTTTGCTATTACGCTTAATTTCATTATCCTGTTTATCATGTTTTTCTTTCTCAAGAACATCCCTGTGATGCGGATATCGCTTTGAAGATACATCGATATCTGCCGTATTGATAGGTATCGGGCGGGGTGGTACATATTTTGTAGTAGTTGCCGAGGTGGCTGCGTAGGGAAATATTTTCGGCGATTGTATTCGTGTTAACGGTAAAATGCCTCCGTGTCTGGAACTAATGAGGGGAGAAGTTTCGGTGATGGTTGACAACTTTGGTTGATACCGGGATGCCAAGCTGTGTGTTGAGGTGTAAGTCGGAGACCGCGGCGGCGTCAAAGGCAGTGTATAGCTACCACCAAACGTGCGATTGTAAGTGGAGGAGTACGGGGCGTAGGAACTGCTCGAAGAGCTAGTGCCATATAGGCCCGGGGTGTAGTAAGGGGCATAGAGTTGACTGCTACCGCTGCTATAATAATAGCTTTGATCTGTATAGAGTGGCATGGCGTAGTGTCGAATGAACGGACTTTATTCGAATTATTTCACCACACAAACCGATATGCAATTTTCGTATATTAAACTATGAATATCGTTTGTAAATTATATATATTGCTTCTTTTTGACACTTTTATTGGGGTATTTGCACACTTTTAAATTTATTTTATTCTGGATTGTTTGTCCTAGTACAAATGGGTTTATTTTTAGCATCACCTCGGGAAACGCGCGACAGAGCTCTCACGTTCGACTGCGACGTTGACTTTCGTCATTTTCCGAAGATGTGTGTATTTTGCTTAGAAAGTTTACTAAATATTTCCGATATATTACTTGCTTGTTTTTGTTTTATTTCGTTTCTTATGGTTTTTTTTTTCAACAAAAGATTACTTTCTCTCGATCATGGAATCCTTACGCAGTCACAATCACACACACAATCATATGTTGTGCGATTAATAAAATTCTTTGTTCTTTTTTCGAAGGCTTTAAATTATACTTGCCGGAAGATATGAACATTTATTATGTCCATTATTTTACGGCATTCACGTGTGCCAAATGTGTGCCTTTACTGTTCCTCTGGCGCTGTGAGTCACTTTCGCTTTTATAGTTGTGCAATGTGCCGTTTAAATTGCAGATATTTTGGTACTATACAAAATAATTAGATTTTTATAGGTCCAAATAGTGAATTTTTGACAGGTGAGGCCAAACTACAATCTAATTTGAGTCGCTTGTGACCTGTTGTATCAAAGATCACGGATTAATTATTAAGAATAATTTATGAGAATTTTAGTCATATTCGAAGAATGCTTATGAATGCGTAATTTGTTAAGAAATTAAAAAGATTAAAAATTAATATAATATAAAAACATAACCTCGAACCTCCATGAACTCAGTGTTTATTTGCACACATTCGCAATAACGGGACTTTTTTCGGAATTTTTGATAAAATATTGATTGCCATTTGTGCTTTTATGAGTTTTCTTTTGATTACAAACATTCTCTTTTCTGAGAACACCGGTGAAAAAAGTACTATTTCAAATCATTCAGAACGCATATGTTTATTTAAAATTAAATTAATAATAAACAAAAGTTGCAAAAATTAAACTAATATACAGACATATTTTTATATTTTTTACTATTTCTATCCACATAAGTGCTAACTAAAAAATGGCGCAAGAGCTTAGGACACTAGCCGATATTGTGGTGAATGACGTAAGAGGTTCTCTACAATTTTCAAGTGTTTTCTTCAAGCATTTCAACTTAAATTAATTTTAGAAGATTCACTTCTTCAGAATTATGCAGTCAATGTAGCCTTTGAAGTTTCGAGATACGCGAATCAAGTTAATTAATTTTAAACACAACGCTAGAGGAATGAATAATTACAACACATACACAGATGCACAAACAAACACACGGGTATGAATATGGGCTAAGTATTTAGTATTACGCGATTATTAGAATTTTCCAATGCTAGAGCGAACCGCGAACCGCTTGGCAGGAAGCTGCCACAATAACTGCGCTGGCCGTCGAGGCTTTCCTGGTGCTGGGCCGTTCGTGCTCGAGAGATCGCCTTCGACACACCGACAACGCGGCCGCCAGACGCACTCAGCAACCCAGCTGGCACACACGGCGCAGCGTTAAATGAATGTTCCAAGATGCGAAAATACGCAAATACATTTTTCTGCGAGCATTTCATTTTGCCTATCGGAACGTGTGTGTGTCTATATACATTTTTGAATACATGCTTATGAACAATACATAAGCACAAGCACACATAGGTGGCTGGGAAAATTAGCCTAAACGCTTTATAAATGGCATACACTCACGGTGCTCCGACGTTACGTTTGCGGTGCGCTAGCAGGAATCACCGGTGTGGTCGATGGCGAGGAGGCGGCGCGGCGAACCCAACGCGTAGTGGTTGTGGTAAAACGAGGGAGAAAACGGAAAATATTGTTTACTAATAAGCATACATGTTCCTCTTTGCTAACTCGTGACTTGTCGTCTCTCGAAGATGAATTTGCAATATATATTCACATATTATATGTATGTATGTATGTACATGCTTAAAAATGCGCCGCTCTCAGCTACGCTAAAAGCTACAGCCAGTGCTTTAGTGGCCTTAGTAATATTTCATCTGCCATCGCCAACAGCCTCAAATATTGTTTGGTACCAAAGTAAGCTCATAATAAGGATTGTGATGCTCGCGTCGCAACACCGAAAATATGCTGAGAATTCGTTAATAATTTGCAGTTGGCTGGCTTCTTCAGAAACTATCGCAGCCGTGTAATGTGAACGTCAGCGTCACTGTGACGTCTAAGAATAACCAATCGTGTGCTGCATTCGATTTAGATCACCGGCCGCACCTCGCCGTTCGCTTCGTCCACTGACTTGACGGCAATTATGCCAATCTAAACACACCCACATACACATACGTGCACACATAAACTAACTTACAGCTAACAGTGACGTCCAACTTTCTTCGTTACCGATAGGTGGATCGAAGATACGACGAGATTTTGCATGTTGTAGGTATATACATACATATATATGTACATGGATTGTCATGGCGATGACGATGGTGATCACGACATAGAATGTTAATGAAATGATAAATTAAGCAATATAACAATATGATATAAATTCTCCGTTGACTCGCCTCTGTGCATGGTGGCATGCCATGGAAGTAACGGCGAGTTCGCGCGTTCATTGTGTTGTTGAAAAAGCCAAATGATGATTTTGTCGACAAACGTACATATATACAAGTATTATATAAACATACATACGAGCGAATCGTCGCGGAGTTGACAAAATTTGTTTCAATTGACAATTTCGTCTATCTTTTTACTGTTTTCGCAGTGCCTTGTCGTTGAAATATGACTTATGCTCTTCTGAAGAACTGCGATTTTCGATATTTCTGCATTTTCATAAGGTCGCATTTACATATGTATGTATATAAAATGGGCTAGATCGAAAAACTATAAAATAATGATAATAAGTAAACATATAGAAGCTCTATATGGAGTGTGCTTAGAACTCATAGAAGTTATTAAAGATTTCATATGAATGGCAATTTAATATAAATTGTATAATTTAATACCATATACACTCGCCAGAAAAAGTCTGCGTACACGCTAAAATCTTATTATCTTTTGTTAAAAACTATTTTTTATATATTAAATATTAGATTAAAATCACATTAAGTGATTTATTACTAGTCTGTTGCATAGTCCCATAGAATTTAGAGCAGGGAAAATCTGGTACCATAGTTTTATCGATAAATTTTCACAAAGTTGTCATTTCGCAATGGGAACTCTTCGCGTAAAAACCAAGAGTAAAAGTGTTCGAAACTTATAGTTTTACTTGTTTTCGTAAAAGTAGCAATTTTAAAAGATTTTTGTTCTATTCAGTTTGTGATTAAATTTAGAACGTCAAATCTCGACTAAAAGAAAAGAAATAAGCCCCTCTGAAACGGAAATAATGGTTAAACTTTTTGAAGAAGGAAAAAAATACCCTGAAATCGGTTGAATGGTTGGAAGAACACATTCTTTGATACAAAGAGTAATACAAAAATTACAAACATACCGGCGATTTGTATCTCTACGCGTCCAGGGCGGCCAAAAATCCTAGCATAGCGTGAAACTCGTAACGTTTTGCAAAGGGTGAAGCACAGCCTTCGACTTACTGCATCCAAAATCGATCAAAATGTTAAGAAGCAAGAAATCCCTCTGCACTGATACCATTCGCAAAATTAAAAAAAAAAAACAGGGTTTTACGGTCAAGTCGCACCCCGGGAGTTTTGGCAGAAAGCTATTTTTTCCGATGAGAGCATGTTTTATTTATGTCTTTGGAATTAGGGGCGTAAAATTTTATGGCGGAAAACGGGTACGGCACTCGATAAGGAAAACTTGATGCATACTGTGAAGAGTTGTGGTGAAGAAGCAATGATAGGACACATAGTTAAGCTTTAGTTACTTTGCAACGTTCCCAAACAGCTTCAAACACCACCAGAATCATCAGATTTTAATCCTAAATAGCGCATATGAGATTTACTGGTATGTAAAATCCGCCAACACATAATTACCTCAAAGGATATGCTCAGAAACCTCTAAGCTTGTATATTCCATGCCAAAACCCTTAGCGGAAGTTTTTTGTAACAAGTAAATTACTATGGTTTTAACCATAAGTATGGAGTTCATAGATTAGACTATTATGTATAAATGGAGATTGTGAAGCTGTTTGTCAAATATTTTGCTTGAACTCACATCCTATCACAGACGTAGTTTTATTCGTATTTTATTTAATTAATTTAAATTTAATTTCTCCCTCATTATATAAGTGTTCTTCAATTTTTATTAAATATTTATTTTAGTTATTCTAATTTTCCTTAGTTTGCATGCTAAAGAACATTTGCTGTTCCTTTATTTTATTTAAATTTACTTGGTTTCTGCTTAGAGTGGTGTAGTTTGTTGAATTCGATTATCATGAAGGGAAGGTACCTTTTGGACGTGGTGCAATTGAACTTTCGAATTTGCACAATTTCGATGTTCCCTTTTAATAGTTTACATTTTAGCACAATAACATTTGCGCCTTCTCTATTTATTAATATTCTTTGAATTTACATTCGCTAAAGAAAAATTATAAAAACAAATTAATTTACGTTCTCTGTTTTAGCCCAAATTCAGAGAACTTATATCAGAGAACGTAAATGAATAGATAAGGAGCAAATGTTAAATGAAATCTTTTTGAGTACTAATTTGTAGTTCCGGATGAGGGAACATCGAAAAATATAACTTCGAAAAAGAAAAATACACCACGCAATGTGCGAAATGCTATAAATAGACACAACGAATATTCCTAAATGAAAAATCGTTGCGCATACCTATTTAGATTTATGTTTTCAATTTCTATATGACAAATTTATATTTATGAAAAGCCTTTTGAATTAAAAATGAGTATTCATTTACGTTCTCTGATTTTAGTACAGCCAACATTTGCTCCTTCTCTATTCATTTACGTTCTCTGTCAAAACACACAATTACGATATTAATTCGGTGCTCTGCTTATAAAGGTTTGTGTCTAGAATAAGACGGTTGTCTGCACTAGTTGCCGCTAAACGGCGCGTACATCGGAACTGACGTCTAGTTATTATTTATCAATTGACACTTATTCAATGTGTGTTGTAAAAGTTTCGCTTCCGGACAAAAATTACACTAAATTGCTTTTAAAAGTGCAACGATACTCACCTTCGCATTTGAGGCCCTGTATGAAGAAACCGGCCATGAGGGAACCGCAATGATCACAAAAAGTAGGCGACATGAAAGTGTACGGCTTGAAACGGTGCGGCATGTCGATCTTGAAGCGTTCGCGCAGCAGCTACAATATTGGAAAAGAACAATTTTGTGAGTTAAGGAGGAAGATGTGTGAGTACAACATGAGCGTTTCACTTACTATTGTGCTGGCCGAATTAAAGACAGAGCCAGAGCATTTGCTTAGAAGCTTCTCGTGACACTTCTTATGCACAGCCGTTTGACATGCTGCAGATGTTACGAACGATATTAGAAGAGTTCATGGTTTTGAAATCTGATTTGCTTACTTATACATTGATAGCCCTTCTTTCCGAATCCCCACACGAATAGATTACAAAATGCGCAGAACGTCGGCTGTCGAAAGAATTTCGCCACAAATCTATGGCCATTGTAATCGTGAGTTCTAGGAACAAATGAAGTAAAATTGAAGGCATGAAAGTTGGTTTTCGATCACGAAGTAGACATTACGATCTTACTTGAGCTGTTTGATGGCGCCGCGCCGATTTGTGATGCTACGTGGCCGCGTTCGTCTGTCTGTACAATCACCGACAGTGCTGTGGTCCATTTCATGCTCGTAAAATTGAGTATAGGCTTTTTCTTTAGAGTGTTGACTGGGCAGTTCATAGGAATGCGACTTGTGATTACTAAAATTGCTGCGATCACTGTAATATTCGCGATCCCGATCCCTATCCCTATCTCTGTCTCTGTCTCGGTCTTTATCCCAACCCCTATTCCTCTCCCAATCATGGACACGACCATTCCCTCTGGGCGGCGATTGTTTGTAGTGTGTCTGCAAGAAGAGAGTGAATCTTTTATAAATTTCAATTGCAGAGTTTGGTGCTTCGGCAAATACTTTACATCCCATTCATATTGGTGTTGCTGTTGTAGATTGTGGTGCTTATGTGAGGAGCGCGTTTGCGCCTTTTGATTGCTGTTGTGGCCACTGGCCTTAGGTTTGCGCACTTGCGCGCGTGTGAACATCATCTCTGCGCCGTTGGTGTTGTCTTTATTGGAGGATCAGTTTGTGAGAGAAACCTCCAATTTCAACAAATAAAGGTTTATTTAATTTTTTTTTAATACAATGACATTTGTTATTGGTTATGTTTCCAATAAGCAATTTGTTCGACCACTTTCTCCAGCGATCTGATGAACATATGTACATACATACATATATGTCAATTGTTAAAGAGGGAAATCTTAAACAAACATAACGTTATCGAATGACAATATATATTCCTATAATAATTATTTCGTTCAAGAAGGCATTGTGGAACCTTCCTTTGGAGTGGTCTATTTATTTATTGCAAATTTCTTAATTTTTA